GGAATGAACGTATTTTGATCCTGGTAGTAATATATCTGAAAGGTCAGAATAAAATTACACTGATAAAACTGTATAATCACGTATGGATAATTTATCGACACATTCTACGGACCTCCTCTTTATCATCGAAAGCGTTATCTTCGTCCGATGTTGACTGATGTCGGTTTGAGTATATATGAGTCTGGGGTGTTGGACTAGGGGCTGCTCTGATTCTTCCTCTTCCAGGTGGAGAAGCCAATTGCAAAGGTCCTAAAACATTGTTAAAATTGCAGTTCAAATGTTTTTATGCTGAATTGCATGTTCTACTAAAACGAAAATGCAAATATGCATACCTTCAACTGGGGATTTGTTTAAAGGTGGTTTGAGCTTTCTATTAATACTCGGTGGTTTCAGCAGGAGAGTGTTCCGCAGAACTCATCTCTAGAACTGGCACTGTTGGCCCTGGAGAAGGTTCATTACTAATAATTGATGTAGAATCACTAGTTTTTCTACCGGGTTTTAATTCCCGATAAACCACTGGTGGCGGCGGTGCCATAGTTGTTGATACAGAGTTCGAATTATCTCGAATAAGTGGACTCGGTAGATTCGAATAGGTAGCAGTCGCTGAACTTTCAGAGCGAGGACTCGATGGTTCCTCTTCCTGAAAGTCGTAACGGAATACACGCGTTTCTTCGAGACTACTCGGTGCGGCATTAGAGTAGAAATGTTTAGACGACTGATCGATCACGGTTGTGTCGGGTGCTTGTCCAGGTTGGTGAGATCTTGGGAAATCGTAAGACTCGTCGGTAACGATAGCGGTCGCAGGTGTTGATGGTGCAGGAGTAGCCGGTGTTGTGGGTTTTGAGCTTTCAGTAGCACCGTCTAAATTTAAATAATTATGACCAGGATTTTCAGGTAACATGTGCGGAGGTTTTGGTGGCCTAGGTGGTGCTGGTAACTTGTCTGCAGCAGGAGGTACAGCGGAATCAACAATTCTTAGCTTTCCGAACCGTTTCCGGACGCTCCAAGATCCAATTTCAGCGTCGCTTGAACCTTGCGGTTGTTTGGCTTCACCTATTATGAAAAATTAAAATTATAATCCGAGAGGAGATAACAGAATGTGTTATTGAATAACTACCTGAGGAAGGAAAGGTCTCCCAATTAACGCTAGGCACAGGTGCGGTCCATTCGTCGTCAGTAAATACACTTTCCGCGTCGGTCGTCGTAGGAGATCTAGGAGGAGAAGGGGCCAATCGTCTTGGAGCATCATAATGTTCAGGTCCTTGACCAAGGGTTGAATTAAGAGAGCTGGTGTCATTCAACCGACGACCAGATATGCATTCACTGATAGGAATGTAAGGGCCAGAGATTGTGCTAGTAGGTGAAATTGGTGGTGATTCTTGTGTTTCAAACTGGAACACTGTTTAAAAGTCTGGTAATTTTAGACAGCAATTCAAATGTATTAGCTCTTAAGTAATTTATCTAGTAACTGTATATACTTTGACATTGTTGTTCTTCATCTTGAGTGTATGCTTTTAAACCACATACTTGACACACTGCATCTACCCACTTATTCATATCAGCTTCACTTTCTGCCACTAAATAATATGTCCTTTTTGGTGTCTTAACATTGAACATATATTGATACTTTTGTTTCCGGTTCTCAAATCTCAGCCCTGCATCCACCTATAGAGAAATATACACAATAGTTTTACATAAGCATTCAAAATACAATAAATACCCAAGAGTAAAATGTTACCTGTTCACATTGATCAAGATCAATACGACCTTTGAGTTTCCTACAGCGTCTATCTGTATAGTATTCTAAAAAGTATTGTCCTGGTAATTCTCCGCTATGTCGAAGGGCAAACCACCTTTTCCTCCACCGCTGAAAGTAAATAAATACAGTAACAAAATTGAAATTTTTCTTCAACAGGCTACTTCTTCAATAGAGGGTATCAACCATGAAACTGTTGGAGAGAGAACACTACTTGAGAAAGAACCACTGAAAATATTATCACTCGAATGATTACTAAACACAATTCGAGGTTAGAATTCAACGGATCTATATAAACGAAGAATCGTATACACAGTGGCTTTGACAAGCATTCGAAAACGTAAACAATGGAAAGTTTACGAATGGGTGAAATTCTGTGTCTGCCAGAGTTCCCCGGGATACTAACCGCTCGCCAGAGTTTCGTGGGTGGCGATTTAATGAGCCACCCTTCGTGCACTATCTCCTGGCTGGTTTTGAGCACCTCCATTCCTATCCGTCGCTGCCCACGAGACTTTTAATAATCGTGCATTATTACGGAGTGCGTGGAACCACCGACAACAAGGATGGCACGCTGCTCGTTCATTTATCTATTTTTGGACGGTGCAGCAGCGATCCCACAGTATACCGACCGTCCAGCGACTCGCCACGACGATGCACACGGACTAACAACACAACGACAACGGGTTCCTACTCCTACCACTGACGCGCATCATCACGACAAACACCCTCCGAGAAGCAGCCGTAGAATTAAAGAGGAGCACCAGGAACACCAAAGCGAGAGACGATGAAAGAGAAGGTCCGACCCGTCCGACTATCGTGATCGTGCCACCATTACCACCACCATCTTGGCCACGCGTGCCAAGCCATGTCAAGCGTCGCGGATGACACACACTTCTTCTCTCGGGCTCGCGCCGTGTTCACCGTCGACGAGCATCCATCCACGCACCATTAGCTCTATCGTGTTCTGAATCATTATTCAGAGCCGAGTCGTCGCTCTTGTTATGAAAATCTGTCTGAATTCATTCGATTAAGAGCAGGTCGGATGACGCATCGTCGTCTCGTGATCCGAACGAACAGCGCGTACCAGTTGAAAGTTCTGATTCAACGCGAACAAAGAAATTCCTGAGGAGCTCTCGGGTTCCGCGTTGAGCGTGTTTCTCGAGTAAATAACAGATTATCTGTATCAAATGCACGATCAGAAGGAAATAATAATGCTAGAAATTGTACATTATCGAACGAGTCGTATGATCGTGCTCGTTTCGGAGCTAATCGTGAGCCATCATTTTCTCGCAAATTGCCACTCACAATTATCCAGGTTACGAAGTCGCTTGATATTTCAGATATTTTGATCAGCCAATGCACTCTGAATCGTGGTATATTTACGCGTGTCGAATAAAAGAATGAGGTTGCCAAGACATAGTGCACAGTTTCCTTATTGCTTGAACTTATTTGCGTCAACAATTAGAGCAGCCGCATTACAGTATTTTGGAAGAAATAGTCGCGTCGCTAATTATCTGCGTTAAAACTTAAAACAAAGTGATCGTGGACAATTACACGACACTCGATTGTCATGGATAAACAAAGGATGGACAAGGCGTGGAATATATCGTGGTTAATTTGCAATGCAATGCTTTAACGCGGTAGACGCCGATCGATATTTAATAAAGAGTGTAACTGACATCACAAAACATCCCAAAGATGAATAACCCACAAATCGTTTATTAAATATTTTTTTTGTGTTGTTTTCCATACAATTCCGTTACGAGGGCAATGTTGGTGTCGCAGACCAATTGCTAGAGCGGAACGCGTTAAGGTGGTCGGTATAAAGTATAAACTCGTAAACGAATTTTAAGTTATTTTTTCACTTTACATTAATAATTCCACGCGGTCAAATAGAATATCTTGCTATCGAAGTCGCGTCGGTATAGTACAAAAGGAGATACGAAATCTTTACAAGACAATTACAGCTCTTACTTGAACATGTATGTATACAAAATGAAAATTCGATATAAGTATGTATAGAGTGGTCGGTAATCGTAGATACGGCCATGAAGAGGGTGATTCCTCGATCAAAAATAAGTCGAAACGGTGAAACCATTACACGGTCTTATTTTCAGACGAGGAGTCATAAAATTGTCCTCAGTCGTGCACGCATTACGGAACACTCATTAATTTCTCCTTTGGACGAATATTACTCCGCTTAACGTACTTGCAACATTCCTTCGTCACGTTCGATCACTGCAACCGCAATTTCCAAGTAATAAGCGCACCTGTCCCGGCACTTTTAAAAAACTTGCTGCCCCTGCAGACCGCTATTTTTCTACAATTAATATATATACATATATATACGTATCTATACATTGAGGTTTTCTCGCTGGAGGTGCGGTCCTCTGCGACGATGTAGTATTTTTGCTACACGTGTACTGCACGTGTGTACAATATGCCTATAGAGTACCCGTGTGCATTTATAAATGTATCTCACATAAACATGCGTGTAGGTCAACGGGGACTCTGAACTTCCTCCTTTTGTCATCCGTCCGATGTATCTCGTCCAACAAGGATTCGTTACCGCGTTAGATAAAGATAAAGCGGGGCAATCTCTGCGGACTTCGGCCAATAGAGGAAGGAAACAAGGATTCCCGGAAGTTCTCTTCATTTCGGCTTATCAATTACGTGATCACTTTTCGGAAACCATTTTCGGGAACATCTGACGAATCCTCGTGAGCATCCGAACGCGTATTTTCTTCTCGCGCTCCAGATGGTTCGTGAAATAAACTGGATTGGCTAGAAACGAGAATGATCAATCAAGGGATGTACTGGTTACGAAAAAAAAGTCTCCTGTCCGAGATGTTAGTTGAGCACGAGGTGTCTGAGAGAACGCACAGGTACAACGACTGAATATTCAAATGTTCATACGTAAACTTTATTTCGTCAGATTTCTCATGTTGCGTTAATGGTACGGTATGTATAAATATATACACATATATGTATAACTCTTACGTGTCGGTAATTCTGTTTTTTTTTTTGTTTCTTTTCGTTTACGACGTTTACGTTGTTACATTACAAGCTGCAATCGGTTAAGAGATTAGTTTTCTTAGGACTAAGGAAAGGAGACACGGCGAACACAACCGGAATAACTAGAGGAGTGAAAGTGTAAATGGAACGCGTCTACGGTCGTTGCATATTTTAGTCCCGGCTCGTTTTTTCGGGTCACTGTTTCGACGACGAATGATGGATGGTATCGAGAGTCGATGGGGACCAGTTGAGTCCTTGGTGAACCAAAATCTCGTCGCGGAACTCTGATAGAGAGGGTTGCTCTCTGCGTTACCCATCCTTCCGTCGTCGGGGATGGCGCAGACAAACTCGTAAAAAACGGAGGGGACGAGACGGGTGCTAAAATATCAACGAATAACAACGAACATCACCGAAACGGATCGAGTGATTCGATTTTCGGACACGGTGCCCTCGTTAACCGCGCGAGTCGGAACATTTTAGTCGACAGGCCGAGAGACAAGGATAACGCTTGCGTTCGAACGCTCGGTCTTATGTGGTAAATCGGTTTAACTCGATGGCTCTCCTCGTCCGGATGAGAAAGAAGAAAAAATCATTGTCGTGGCTCATATACAAATATTATACAAACTATGCGTGCGGCACGTAACAAATAGAACCGGAAGAAAGAGATCACACGGAAAGCTTCTGCGGATAAGCTGAACAAATTGAAACTCATGGGCGGAATGAGTACAATAAGCGAGCAAGGCGACAATGTTACGACAGAGTCAACAGAAAAACTTTAGTTTTTCGCACATTATGACTTTAAATAGTTTATTATGGGATACACGCGCAATGACAAAGAATCAAAGTGTGTTGTCGATGTACACGGATAAGAAGAGATCGGGCTCTGCTCTATTCTGGAAAATAGAATAAAAATAATTCATTTCTTTCTTATTAAATTCTCTTCTTTTTTCTCGCGCGTCTGTATAAATACTATCGATAATAAGAGCTACATATTCCTTTCATTTTCTTTTTTCTTTCTTCTCTTTAAGAAGGATCTTGGTCTTTCCACACACGTATGTACACACGTAGAGAACCTGAGCTGAGAGAAAAATAAAAATTGGAATGTATTTTTAAAACTTCTTTTTTAATAATAATGTAACAATAGTCGGGTTAAATATTCATTGAACATCAACATACAAGTTGTCCTTATCTACGTTTACAAATCGTCAAGAGGAAAAAACGAAGTCTTTTTTGTTCTTTTTTTCTCGTTCACGTCCAAGAGTATAAAACCGTAGCAAAAAACCTAAATTCACTGTTTCCCCTCTCCGAGCGGGACGCGAGGCTAGCTTTCGCGCTTTTACAAACCGAACTTATGTATGTTACAAAAAAACGCCGTTTTACAAAAAGGAATAGCGGAAGAAAAACAACGGAGACGAAAAGAAACGGGGTGGTAGTAGTAGCGGTAGTAGAAGTAGGAGTAGTAGTAGTAATAGTAATAGTAGTAGTAGTAGTAGTAGTAGTAATAGTTTTAACTAAAGTTTTTCCTAAGTCACTCTGCGAGCGGTCTTTACAGCAGGACATATTACAAAATGGTATATTATATATTCAGAATGGCGAGCGACGGCGATAGTGTCTTTTTCTCCATTCGTGTGTTTCCTCGTGCGGCGAGAACGACGAAAATTCCACCGGTAGAAAATAAATAAAGGAACACGCATCGTTGAAATATATTTTACAACATTTATCGTGATCGATGCAGTATGGGATTTGGGGTGGGAGGATGGGGTGACAGGGGTGCGGAGGAGGTGGCTAGGGTTACTCGAGGCTCGATCGAGAGAAAATGAGAGAGACTCGAACGTTTCTCTCTGTCCCTCTCGACACACTCTACTTGGGGAAAAAAAGGATTGACTGGGGATCGAGAATGGTGTGCTTCCATTTCATTCTTTTTTCCACCTTAAGGGGGGATAAAAGTTACATTTGCGTCTCATTAGTCATTTAATTAGACAATCATCATCATAATTATCAGCATCATCATCATCATCAGAATCATCATCATCATCATCATCATCATCATCATCAATTTACTATTTACGAAATGTCATAATAAAAAGTAGTACTCTATGGTCGGTATTACAATAATAATAATAATAATAGCGTAATAATAATAATCATTATTATTATTATATTCCATAGTTTTGTCTGTGGTTATCGTCTATCGGATAATTAATTAATATTTACTTCATCTCATGATATAACCGCGGCCTATATTGTGTTTCGTTAATATAAAAAAGAAAACAAAATCGTATAATATATATTTCTATATAGCGTTGTATCATTCGCTTCTCATTACAATAATAAATTGCCACGAACGCCGACGTACCAACAGAGTCCCGACGAGCCAAACCGCTTCCGCCTCGTCGTTGGCTTTTTCATTCGGTCTATTCGGAAGCAACTTTTTTGTGTTCTCTCGCGAACTTCCGAGCGCTCCGCGATCTCGCTTGTCTACCATTTTTTCTCATCTCTTTCTCTCTCGTGGCACAAGGACGTTTAAGATCCATTTTTACACACGCGATTTGCCTCTCGAACCACGCTCGAGAAAGAGACGATTCATTTCATTTTCCCAATTCAGCCTCCTCCTCTTCTCCGCCCTGTTTCTCTTTCGTTTTCTTCGTTCGGCTTCTGTTTTCGTTTACTGCACACGCGAAGCTCGCGCGATCCATTTCGCTCGCAAACGAATCTGGTTCGTCGCGATCGTGTGCTAATTAATGTAATAAAAATCAATCGTTAAAATAGAATATTACGGATCGCGATCGTCGGGATGGCACGCCGACAGCGTTCGAATGTCCACACTTAAAGAGTTTACTACCATAAAAGGTATACCACTTTCAGATTTACAACACTGCCCTAAACACAGCCATACTAAGCCAAATACTTTTGGGTTTTTGTCGTTTACGATTAATTCTCCTTTCGCCAGAGTAAAATCGTTTTTTTAAACCTATAGTCTCGATTACCGTCCGTGCTTCGTCGTTTGTTATACTTTTGTTCAGAGACTTTCCGGTCGATCCTCGTTTTCCGTCCCTTTCGCTTTATCAATGGTCGGCCCCACTTTCTTTTCTTAGAGATCGCGCGAGATTCATGAGATGCACCCACAACCCCATTCCATTCCGTTTTCCGCTGTTTTCTCAAAACCGATCGAACGAATCAACTCGCCCGACACACCCTACTCTTCTTTGGAAAGTCGAATCTACGTGATCTAAGGTACAAAACAGAGAGGTGCAATGAAACATAGAATGATAGAAAGAAAAAGGAAAAAACGAGAGAGAATATACAAAACAAAAAAAAAAAAAGGAATGTTTTCTCGCGCTGATGACTACCGCCAGATGATCCATGTCGAAAATTGAAAAGAAGAAACTTAAATAAATAAAAAAAAAATATAAAAAAAACGCAACGATTTACTTAGCCATTAATACTCGATGCTTGTTACGTATTTTTGTGTGAAATATTAACACTGATCGATTATTACGTAACGTATGCTCGAAAACTTGTGCCTTCAATGGAACTCTTTTTTTTTTTTCCTGTTTCGTTTTCAGTAAACCTGTTCCTCTGCGTCATTGATGTTTTCCGTAACAGAAAAGTTTCTTGTTCGTCAAACGAATTCGAAGGGCATCGATGTATCATCAACATGTAACAATAAACGTGTGACTGTGTACGATGTCGCGTGTATGCTTTGTATACCGGGTCACGAGTATGTTGAACGTATTGAATACATCCCGGTAACGTGTTTCGCTCACGGCTCGTTAATTCCATTTCGTTTCTTTTTTACTATAATTCCGTCTCTTTAAACTCCGCGTACTCTGCCTCTTTCGTCGCAACGGTAACGATAAGTTCTGCACGCGTTCGAGGATCACGATTTTTCTTTCTTTATTACACCGAAATAGATCGCGTGTCGTTTAGTGGAAAAATTCTTCTCCAGCGACGACAATAAATCGGCTACAGCTTAACTACATGGTGGGCTACATTGTACACCGTGTATTTCAAAAAATACCCGACGATACGGACTCTCATAGTACAACACCTCGCACGCATCATCATCATCATTTTCATCCGTTTCTTTTTATCAGCTAGTCATTTAAATAGGTATCGAAGAAAAAAGAGTGAGGAAAAATTACACTTACAATTTACTATGATACAGCACTGGCATAGTCACGTAGTGTCGGTAATGTACGTGTTTACGTGTATCTGTTGCTTGTACGATTGTTTGTTGTCGTCTCTTTTTCTATAGTGCTCAACGGGTGCAGCCGATAGTAATACACGCGCGTATATCGTGTATATACGTGTTGTGTGTGTGTGTATGTTCTACCGTGTCGTGCGCGCGCGCGTGTGTATCCCTTTCTCGCTTTTGTTTTCCCGAACATTACACGATACCTATACGTTTTGAATTTTTTGCAATAATATTAATAATAGTAATAATGATAATAATAATGATAAATAATAATAATCAATAATAATAATATTAATGTAATAATAATAATAAATTCATAAGAGACAGGGAAATTAATAATAATCGTTATTATTATCGTAATAATAGTATCGTATGTACAGAACGCTTTTCATGCAGGGGGTCCAGTTTAGGTTACGCTTCGTAGCTACATTTTGATTGAACTGTACATGTCGAACCCCCGTGTTTGAAAAACTTTGTTTTCTTTTTTTTCCTTTCAAAAATTAACACGATTTTATATAAATCCTCCCGTACTAGCAAATAGCAGCTTGTCGTGAATTTCTACTTTTTGGTTGCGACACCGTTAATCCGCGTTGTCTCGCCTGTCCTATCAAGAGGAGGAGAATCGTTCATTTTCTTTCTCATCGCGAACGATTCCGTGTCCAGCAGATTATCCGAGGATTGATTTCAGCTTCTTCGCTCTTTTTTTCACCAGAATGATTCATAAAATTTAATGCCGCAAAGGTACAACCTTCGGCAGCCGTAGCGATCTCTTAACGAATTAGCCTAAGTTAACATTACTTAACTTTTCCACTAAATTTCTGTACTCCCTTCCTTACAATACAATGTTGTCGGGTTTCTCGTTTCGTTTTCACTATATCATTCGATCGCTTCTTTCATACAGTTCTTAGCTTTCCTTGTTTTTGTTTATATACTTTGCATCTCGGCACGATAATAATAATAATAATAGTGGTATATAATAACTGCATATAATCGCTACGCTAATAGTATTTGAACTATTAATTATTAATTAACGTTAAGTATACACAACACATTTGTACGATTTCACTCAGCTTGCACGAGCAGCAGCGGAGGGAAGGTGGTAAAGATGAAAAAGGTGTGTGTCTCTGTGTGTTTGCGAAAGGGGGACAAAACGTGGTGGGAAGGGGACAACGGAGGAAGGCAGAAGTTTATGAATATTCGTGTACGCGTGTCTATCTGTTTAATTTGTGTACGATTGCGAGTTTTTCATTCGGGTGGGTGGGGGAGAACGTAGTAATAGTCTCTCTCTCTCTCTCTCGCTCTCGCTCTCTCTCTCGATTTTACTCTTAGTTTCCAATAATTTTTACGTCGTTCCACCGGTTCTCGATTATGGGGATATGAGACTGTAGGGGAGCCAAGATGCTGAGGTACGAAACAGTATGGAGTAACGTAAGAAGTTGAAAGTGTCCATTGAGCGAGCTTGTAGTATTTTCGTGGAGCGTCCCCTAAAGCAGCACCACATCACGCTATATCGCTCCTGCACCTTAACTCGGAGATAAAAAGAGAGGGAACACGCGTCATCCGGATTAATTTGGTCGCACCAGTGGTACTTGGTTCAGCATTGGCGGCACTCGATGTGTGTCGGTTGTACCGGACGTGAGTAGTTGTACCTGATCTCCACGAAGCTAGGAACGCAGAACGGATGGACGTTACGCCCTCCGCCTCATGTCGGAGAGCTGGAACAGCGACCGTCCTTCAAACGGTAGACGCACGATGCGAGATCATCGTGGTCTGCCCGTTATTTACGTAGTCACTCGTTTCGATCGACTTCACTAACAGTCACTACAATCCTTCGACAAATTTCGAGAGTTGGTCTTGTGGCGTCATTGGCGTCACTTCACTGGAGTCCGTGCCACTAGTAGGCGGTGGAGCTGGAGACGGATGATGAGGCATGGTACCCGGATGACCCGTAGGCGCGCCCGTACCACCGTTCAACTGCGAGAGCATCATTTCGCTTGGACCGCCGAGTTCATGGGCCGGTGAATGCGTTGGCGTACCGTGAGGTGGATGATGATGAGGCGATGGCACCGGCCCTGATCGAGGCGAAGGAACTGGTTGATTGCGCGGGGATGGAACCGGTCGCGGTGAAGGATTTGGTTGAGGAGATCGAATGGGTGGCGGAGACCGAACTGACTGCATGAGCTGTTGCTGTACAGAGATCCCTGGAGGTCCCATCACACCTTGCGGAGAAGGTATTGGTGGTGGAGTTGGTTTTAAACCGGGCTGACCGTAGCCTTGTTCACTAAAGCCACCGTAACCTGAGGAAGAATACGCGGAATCGTGGCAGACGTTAGACCACGAACCAACCGGCTCGACGAATCTCGTTTTGTCGGGAATCAAATGACTCTTACCGAGAAGGGACGGCCTTATTGGTCGTTGTTGACCGTAAGGAGGTGCTGGTGGTTGTGTGAACGGTTGTTGTTGTTGTTGTTGTTGTTGCTGCTGCTGTTGTTGTTGCTGCTGCTGCTGTTGTTGTTGCTGTTGTGCCTGCTGCTGCTGCCTCTGCATCACCAGCATTTGCTGCTTGTACCACTGTGGTTGCTGTTGTACAGGTTGCTGCTGCTGCTGCTGCTGCTGCTGTTGTTGTTGTTGTTGCTGCTGCTGCTGTTGATTTAACATCGCTTGTATCTGCATTCTGCCTTGCTGCTGCTGCTGCTGTTGTTGATGCTGCTGCTGTTGCTGCTGCTGTTGCTGGTGTTGCTGCTGCTGCTGCTGAGACATCATATGCTGCAAACCTGGTTGTTGTTGCGGCTGATTAGGACCCAGAGGTCCGCCGACTCCTCCGCCGTATTGACCACTTTGTTGCTGAAGGGCAAGCGCCTTTTTATTAAAAAAATCACATGGTAATAGAAATCGTCAACACCGAGAATGAAAACAACAAACAGTACAGTGTAAGGGATTATTATGATCATACCCGTTGTTTGATGAAAGCAGCCATTATCGGTGGATTGCTTTTGAGTATTTGAAGTATTTGGTTTTGTTGCTCGGGCGTATGAGGATTCTTGAGAGTTTGCATTAACTGTTGCAATACATGCTTATGCATATTATTTTGAGCCTGTGGTCCGACTTGACTGACCGGACCGCCAATAACGCCTGGCTGTCTCGGCATTTGTCCTCCCATTCCCATTCCTGGCTGTCCCTGATGTTGTTGCTGCTGCTGCATTAACTGCTGCGGTGTTTGTTGCCTTAAACCAGGGTTTTGTTGCATCACCGCATTCGGCTGATACCTACTACGCATGGAAGTATGTTTATAATGTGGTCAATTTTGCAAGAAAAAGACATATCATTATGAGGTTTTATTGTTTGTGTATAGAATAATACCTTGGCGTCCACTGATCCATTGGAATTAGATGAGTACCACCGGGATTTGACATCTGGACGGGCATTGGCCGTTGCATTTGTGGCGGAGGCATTACTCCACCCGTTTGTCCTCCCACACCAACTCCAACGCCGACTCCGCCACCTGGCGTTACTTTGCCATAGCCAACGTGCGGCGCCTGCTGCCTCGCAGCTTCTTCTTGTACTTGCTTAACAACTTGGAGGACATGGGCGGGTGGTGTTTGCGTTCCAGGTTTCAACCCTATTCCGGGTTGATGCGGCGAAGGTAAATTGGTTGGGCTAACTCCTGGTTTCATGGCAACACCGGTTGGCATGGTGACATTGGAAGTCTGCTGTCCACTTTGCATTGGTCCTACAGGACCTGTTGGTCTCGTATTCATCACAGCCATTCTTCTTCTGTAATGTACAAAAATATATGCATTTAAATTATATCTTAAAAATTCTGTACAATTCAATTCGATCAATGCTACGATTAATGTCTACTTACCTTAACAATTGCGCCTGCTGTAACCTTTGCTGAAGCTGTTGTTGCTTCAACTTGTGTTTGATATTCGAACAGAATGGAACTAGACATTTAGTCTCCTGGCAGTGTTTAGCGTGGTAACAGCACAATGCAATCAATTGTTTACAAATTGGACAACCACCGTTCGTCTTTCGTTTGCAAATCTTCGTATGCGTTACTACTCTCTTCATCTTCTGACAGCTGGGTAGTCGACAGTTAGCGTCTCTGCACTGGCATGCGTGTACCAGTGACTGAATACATCTTTGTATCGACAATTTACGTGCCTCCTGTTGAAAAAATTCATAAAAATAGTTATTAGATACGTCTCTTGCAATACTAACTATATTATATATAATCCATGTGAAAAGTACTTTACCTGTGGATTTGCTTGCTTGGCATCGGCCGGCGATGAACCATCATCCAAATCTAAACCAAGTTTCTCCATATGATGAGGATGACCATCTTTTTCTTTACAACTTATACATAGGTCAAAGTCCTGTTTGAATGAATGATTATATTAAACTTATCGTTTAAAAGAATAGAGACGTTGAGAAAATGAATTGCTCTGATACTTACATCACAAACCGTACAGTGATACCTCGTTTCTACATGACTCTTACAGTTATTACAAGTATAAACAAATTTGTCTTGGCCTTGGTTGTGTAATTCATATAACATCGACATGGAACTAAACTTCGCACGTCTTAAAGAAGAGAATTCGTAATGTCTTTCTCTAGCCATTGTAAGAAAAGCATCGCGACCATCCATAAGGTCACAGTTAATTACAGGGTCAGGATCCTGAATCGGCTGCAATAGGTTGTGTTGACACATATTAGCATACAGTAGTGGATTACGTTGCGAACGACTACAAAATAATTCTAAGTACTTACTGCTAAACTGGCTGCACTTTGGGCACTATGCAACCTAATCACAAAAAATACTTCCTTGTGTTTTTCCATGGTCGCAAAAATTTTTGCAGAAAGGTCATTTCCTGTTTGAGGAGTGTTGGACTTTTTACTATTTTTTCTTTGATTTGCTTTAGATTTATTCGACTTTTTAGCCTTTTTCTGTCCCTTTTTCTTGCCATCTGGACCTGTTTCAGAATCCTCAGACAATGAGAAAATCTGAAATTAAATCACGGATATTGTAATCATCACCATATCACTAAAAAGAATTATATATTTGTATACTAATTAGTCCACTTACCGCATTAGCAGCCGCAGCTTCCGCAGCTTCTGCCTGCTTCCGTTTCTCTTCTTCTTCCTGATCTAATTCCTTAATACTTTCTTCTAGAACATTCGGCCAAAAATCACCTTCAAAATATGGTAAATCAGCAGCTGACGAAAGTTTATCTTCCATCGCTTGTTTTAAAATATCCTGGAATTAATAAACAAAATAGATTAATATTTTGTTTATGGTACGTTTATAAACTGTAAACAAAAAATTTACATTTTCAGTTATAGTCTGCTAATCCTATGTTCAAATTTACGTATTCAACAAGAACATTAGCTTATTACAGACGTTGCTTTTAGTCATCACTGACACCCAAGAATAAGAAGCTACATTCTCAGGTAACACTTGAGACTGTAATACGTTCGTATTAAATCAAGCCACTGATACTAACTTTGTAATCCAGTACAATTCTCTCGACCATGCCTTTGTCCAACATTTTTTTGTACCATTCCTGCAATCTTTTAGGCTTTGGAATCTTTTGCTCTTGGGGATGGCAGTGAAAGATGTAATCATCTCCTTCAGAAGGTGGACAGGCCCAAATGTGTGCCATGGTATATCTGTATCACAAGTTCATTGAAAATATCACTAAACGTTCAAAGAACACTATTAAAAATATCAGTCATAAGTAACTTCGACCTTACCCTAATTGTTTCGCGTAGTCTAAGTAACCAAGAAGTATCTCGTGGTAAACAGCCGTTCGAAATTGTCTAGGCCGGAAAAAGTGTACCGAATCCAAGTACGCGATATAAACCCTTCTAGTGTTAGGTGGTGTACATTCACTGCCATATTCTTGCACGTGCATGCCGAAAAAACATACGTCCGTGCCATCAACCTCTTCAAATGCAAACAATGCCTTTGCCCTGTACGGAAACTCGCCGGGCATATCACCGTTTTCCACGAATCTGCTTCTCATGCCAGGCTTCACTTCCACCACTTTGTCGCTAGACGCCACGACTCTGATCGCTACCTCACCAGCGCCAGCTTCTTTCTTCTTCAGGAAGTTGTTCACTCGTGTCTCTATATAGGTTCCTAATTTAGTGACTGGTAAACGTTTCGCGTTAAACTTATTCTCCTTACGCTTTTGTCCCTTCTTCTTCAAACAATTATCACAAGTAAACCTGTAAGAATATAGAATGTTACATTCCCAAAAGTTCACAGTATTCAGTACTACTCAACAGTTTATCATGATATTGTAGAGAAATATGTATAATTACCCTAATGGCCAGATCGATTCCATGTGAAGCACACAGATTTGGTGTACTTTTCTACCACAATCTGTGCACACAACAAAAGGCTCCAATTCCAAATGATCGTTTTTCATTTCCTGGAACTGTTCTTTTTTAATGGCACTAGAATGAAAAATAGTAACTTAGATCCTGTTCGGAGAACAACAGTAAAAAATATCTCACACAATGTTTTAATACCTTCATACTTACGTTTGAGGTTGCGTTGGATCATCTCCCAACGTCACAGTGTCACCAGGAATGTCGTTGAAACATTTCTGACAGAAGGTGTATCTGTCGGAAACAAGACCATATGCCTTTAGACTATCGTTCCAATAGTGTTTAGATCCAAATTTTAATTCGCCAATGTCATGCGTGCATCATACGAAGATCGATATATATTTTTTTCACGCCCCAATGGATGTATCCAAATGTCGAGAGTCCAATTTTGACAAGTGATTTTTTTTGCGATTATACACATGCAAGTAGTAATGTTTTTGCCAATTGTACATATATATTTATATATGTTTTAGTCCGTTTCGTTTTTACATTTTTGGTTCCAAAAATTGTAGAGTTTCGTCATGGTTTTTTATTTTCATTATTTTTTTTTCATTACGACATCAGGTATCCAATTTCGATCGTCCAATTTCCAAGTATCAATTTTCGTGGCATGAAGTAGTAGAGTTGGAAAGAAGCAAGGGGCGCGGGCAACACAAGAAGCAAGCAGCAAACAAGGATTTTGTGTGTGCGTGCGCAACCCATGGGTAGAGCGAAGGTAACATACAAAGAAGAGAAGAGTGCCATCGTTAGACACGATATATGTACTCATTATATACATAATTTACTTAATTGCATATACCCAAGAGTTACCATTCTCTATTCGTTAACAAATGCTCACCGCTGTAATAAATTATTCGCGCGAAGCAAAATATACTGTCATCTAAAAACAGGGCGTACAACTCACAAATATTAACTCCAGTAAGAAGCTACATACCCCTTAAGTATATGCGTAATAGAAATGTAAACTTTTACGTGTGCGAGCTTTACGTAAAAAGACATACATTTATCGGTAAACATGTTGTAATTGTGGTGTTAAAAATATAATTGAAAAGGGAACAGAAAAAAAACGTGTTGGTCAGGAGACTGGCCTGCATCGACTGATATGACCGAAACAGGTTAATTAGCCTGCCAATTTAATTTGGCGTATTCGGTTGCAGAACATTTTTCTTTAGTAAAAATGCACTATATGAATCGAATGCGCCCTTACTGAGTAATTCTAACTTTTCTCCTCGACGTGAACTGGCTAAAATTCATCAATATCCTTCAAAGGCAACCAAAAGTAACAGAAGTCGTTAACAAGATATCTATATGTCTAAATGGAGAAGTTGCTAAAGGGCAAGATGGAGATTTAAAAAAACCTATTAGCGTATTCCCACCATGCATACTATTTCTTTGTCGAGTATTAAATAAAATTCGTGTTATACATAGTCACTTTACTAAGATTTTTCTACATACTGACCTATTCTGATAGGAGTAGTACTTTGCATCTCTGGGTATCGTACACAGTTGCTTCCCGTAACAGCACAAAACCTGCGGATTGAACGTGTATTTCCTTCCGCAACAGTATCCCAGAGCCTGCATCACAGGATCTATTTCTTGTTCAAAAACTTCAGAAAGCTGAAAGCAACACGTGAACATATACGATTCCACCGTCAACGTTGGTATGGTTGGTTATTGAAAACTCTTATAAACATACCTTTGTACAATATCTGTATACACGCGAAGTCTTACGATTATACAGCCACGCGTTGTCGAACATCATCCACACGTCGTCTACATACTCCCACGGATCACTATATTGGCCTGTGTCCAATTTTCTTTTGATTGTCGAAAGGTCCATTGGTTTTTTCACAATATCAAAGTAATCCGGAATTCCTAACGCTTGCGGATCAACCGGTTGCCTGAACGGTATAGATTCTGGATCCTGACGATAAAGTTTCTCCAATGTCGGCATCAACGCTTGACGCAATTCGTCCGGCTTAAACAAACATAATCTTTTCTTGTCCGTCGACGTCCCGCTCGGTTGTATCGGCTCAGGAACTAACGGTTTGATATCCGGTGTCGTCGTATCCTGACTAGACATCGGCGTCACTGGTTCTTCTTTAATACCGGAAGATTCTTCCTTCACGATACCCTCACCAGATCCTTCTTCCATTGGTTCTCTTTTGATTTCCGATTTAATCGACACGTCGTTGTTCACATTCTTCCCGCCATCCATCCTGTGATTCTCAGATCCATCTTCCTGCTTAATTTCCATCTTCATACTCTCCTCTTTGATGGAATCCAGCTTTCCCTTATTGTTATTCATTGGTGGACTAGGAGAATTATCACGGTCTAAAGCAGACGCGATTGCCGCCATTTGAGAAGATATGGACGATGCTCTTGGCGCGTTCAGTGCAGCTCTTTCCTGGGATGTCATGCCTTTCCCAAGACTTGCTAGGCCAGCTGGGGACGGCGTGGTACCAGGATGAGGTGGAGTTTGATTCGCGGAAGAAACTGTCTGATTTGGTGTCATCAGAGAAGGAACTATCGGTGTATTCGGTGTGGAAGTCGCAGACTGAGGTCCGTTCGTTGCTGTCGTAGGACCGGGACTAGGCCCGCTAGACGCGGGAGGTGGTATCGTTTGAGGAGTCGATGTGTTCATTCCGCTATCGCTAGGTGTCGAAACCGATAGAGGGCGACTGTTACTGAACTGTTGATTCTGTTGCTGATTATTTTGTTGCTGCATACCACTGAACGGCGACGGTGCCTGAGGCATCGATGTCGTCGTGGCATTCTGATTCGAAGTGCTTGTCGGCTGCTGTTGTTGTGATTGATTTTGTTGTTGCTGTGATTGAGGAGGCTGTTGTTGTTGTTGTTGATGTTGATGGGCAATTGCTGCTTGCGCCTGTGCTAGTCTAACCTTCATAAGGTCGGGGAATTGATGTTGATTCTGTACAGGAGAACTGTTAGGTAAACCGGAAGTACCATTTGAGGTTGGAAATTGACTAGTTGTTGCAGATGTGGTTGTGGTTGTTAAATTAGCTTGCGACATTTGCGGTTGTCCGAAAGGACTAAGACCAGGATTTGGAACGACATTAGGATTAGAGGTTGACTGTCCATTCGGGCTAGGACCCGGCGGACCAACCAAAATTCCTTGCTGCTGCTGTTGTTGTTGCTGCTGCTGTTGTTGCATTTGCTGTTGAACTTGGGCTTGGGCTTGGGCTTGAGCTTGAGCTTGAGCTTGAGCTTGAGCCTGAGCCTGAGCCTGTGCCTGCGCCTGGACTTTGGTTTGGGCTTGAACTTGTTGTACCTGTTGTTGTTGCTGCGCTTGTTGCTGTTGCGCTTGTTGTTGCTGAGGGAACTGCATTCTATTGTGTGCAATGCCTATTGCAGGTAAAGTTCCAAGTTGACCCATACCTGGCGAATGACTACGTAAGCTTGGAGTAACAGTTCCAACCGGTCGTGATGGTGGAACGTTTCCAACACCAGGTGGGGCACACGGCCTCAAACCTGGACCAGCTGCTCCAGATGATCCAGGTTGAGGTTGTTGTTGTTGCTGTTGAGCTTGTAATTGCTGTTGTTGCTCTTTCCTCTTCTGTCGCTTTTCCTCCAATTCCTTCTGAATTTTATATATCTTTTCAGCAAGTAAATGATAATACTCTGATCTGGAGTTAGCCATTTCATACATATCGCCTTCAACTTTTCTTGCATACGCAACTAAATTGTGCATCCTCTTATCGAGCATGGCATTCGGATCTGGAGTGGGAAATATGGCTTGAACCAATTTGTGAACAAGATGATTTCTAAGATCAGGCGTCACAGTTAAATGCCAATCCTTTGTTTCCTGCATTGGTGTTGCTGTTACTTGACTTTGTTGGGCTCCAACCGGAAGCTGAGGACTAGCTAGCCTATTTTCAGCCGCAACATTGAGTTGTCCTGAATCATTCAAACCAAATAACTGATGTACATTAACGGATTGTTGTATATTTGCAGGAGCTGCAGCTGCAGCAGGCGCAGCTCCACTTGTGGACGCAGACTGATTGCCGGTTACTCCAACTGTGTTAGGGTCAGAATTTAAAGGAAGAGACACGTTGGGTGCGACTACTTGCTGCCCAGCACCAACCACAGGTTGACCAGGGTTGGCTTGAGCCTGGGGTTGAACTAGCCTAACATTTCCCATTGTACCTGTTGCTCCTTGCATACCTGGTGCTGGTATTCTTCTCGTAACACATTGACCAGGTACTAAACCAGGTGTTGTTGTAGGACACTGAATACCCAAAGCATCATATGCTCTTTTCACCTCAGTCGGACTTGGATTTGGTTGGCTATTTGGTTGTGATGTAGATGCTGCAGCAGCATTTGTCTTATTTTTATTTGCTTGTTTCAAAGGTAAGCACACAGGGCAATCGTTGCGATTACAATGTTTCCAATGGCTAATAATTTGTCTGGACGAGCTACAATGTGGCACCAGACAATTTTTTCCTGCTTGACAGGCGGTCATATGGTTCAAAACATTTTTCATTGTTTTGCAATCTGGCAATGTACAATGTCGAACGTCACCATTGTTCGCTTGACTTTCACGCCGTTGACATTTATGCGCATGTAACAGAAGAACTAATTGCTGTTGAATAAGTTTACGTTTTTCTGGATCAGCAGTTGATTTTGTAGCACCTGATAATATAAAAAATTCCATTTAACCAAGTTCATTGTTCAAAATAATTTTGTTCACAAAGACATATACTTACCAGTTGGGGCACCGGTACCGGATATTTGTCCCTGATTAGCTTGTTGTGAACCAAGTTGTACTCCAGTTGGTGCACCAGGTTGAGTTTGAGCTGGACTTGGAGCAGGTGGCTGAGCTTGTTGTGTCATAGTACCCTCTTGGCCACCCACAACAGTAGCAGAACCAATTGGACCTGTCGTTCCTCCGAATCTTCCAGCAACTTGCATAGCAGTCATGTTTGTTCCAACTCCTTTTTGCTGTGGTGTAACAACTCCAACAGGACTATTAGTACATACTGTTGTAACACCAGGTCCTGGGCCACTGCCTGGAGATGCTGTAAAAATTTTTGTACTTTAATATGATTTCAATATTATTATAAATACATATAATTGTGTATATTTAAAGTATTTACCATAACCATAAGGACTGGATGCACCAATTTGTCCCATGTTGGGCATATTTGCCATATTTGGGGGAGCCTGCATTCGTGGACCTCCCTGTCCAGGACCAACGATACCAACTTGATGTACTTGTTGATGCGGGCTTTGCCCTCTTGCAGGACCAACCATATGAGCTTGTTGTTGCTGTTGCATTGCTACAGCTCTGGTATTCATTATTCCAGGACCATTTTGCATTTGAGCAACACCATGTGGTCCACCAGGATGATGTATTCCTTGAGTATTGGCGCCCATCATAGTTACCTAAAGAGGAAAATGCCAGTTTATAGATTTCATAAAGCTGTAACATTTTCAGACAGCCCTAAATTTGACCAAACTTACAGTATTTAAAGGCTGTTTATTCAAACTGTTTGTTACAATTAAACTTCCACCTGCCATTCCACCCATATTGTTATTCCCACTAGCACTGCTGGTCATAACTAAGCCAGAATTCATTCCACCTGGTATTGACATGGCAGGACTACTTCCAGCCATGCTCATTGACGACTGAAGACCTCCCATAGAATTTGCAATAGACATTTGATTGTTTGCCAAAGAACTGGCTATACTACTTGGTAAATTTCCCAGACTCACAACCATTTGTGGATCAACTACTTTAGAGACAGAAACATTTGGTGGAGATTGCATGTTTGGACTTTTATTACCCAAAGTTCCAGCAGCCATTACTAAAGAATTAGCAACCAAATTCTTGTTGCCCTGTTTAGAAAACAATTCGAGTCAAATAATATGAAATAAATTTGGTGAATAATTTATATATGTTACATGTACATATATATTAAGAGTACGAACTTGTTGTTGTATTAAGTGATGTGACAGTTGTTGTTGCTGCTGTACATGCTGTCGAAGTTCTGAATCAAGGGCACCATTTTGCTGCCCTGGTCCTGGTCCTGTGGCCGGTGGTTTAGCACTCTCGGTTGCAGAACCCCAAGACCCCGATGACAATAGATCGTCGGGTAGATCATTTTCAAGATCAAACATATCTGTGTTTGTTATGTAATCTGAGAATAGATATTTAAATTAGTAACAACAGTTTAATATTTGAAGTGCTGTAAAAAGTACTGGTTACTACAAAAGTAAGATTTTGTGATTCATGTTCATCATGTCAATACTCTGGTAGCAAATGCTTTTTAAAGTACACAACTTACAAGTGGCTTGATACTACAAGAAAGAAAAATTACTTTTCTAGACAACCAGTATGAAAAACGGGATCAGATTATGATATTAGGTGTAACATGTACCATAGAGACCAAAAAACCATTAGTAATATTATGAAGATGAGAATCAGCACCGTCACCATAGCTTTTATCCAAAGTTTCAATAGTAGAATCATCATACTGCCGTATAAGCCTTACGCTGTAAGGTTTGATGCATGTTTTATAATATACCTGCATGTAAATGTACATGCACATATATGCACACATGCACACACTTTATAACAATTATATGTACATACTTTAAATTACAAAACAAGTTGTATTCAGTTGAATCAAACCAACCTAAGGTATTGAAATACATTTGTTGTACAAATGTATACTTTAACTTACTTGATTATCCATGATAGACAATACATCAATGGAGAAAAAAGGGGTCAAATGCAATATCAAAGAAAAAAAATGAAAAACAAAATAATAAAAAGATACTACGACAAACTACATGTAAATATAAACAAACAAACAAACAAATAAATAAATAAATAAGACATGAGACATGAGACATACACTGCATGAGCATAACTTAAAAGAGTTCATACTACAGCTGAATAAAAATTGATTCACAATAATGTCGTGCTAAACTACTGAAGCAGCAAAGCTACTGATGGCAAACTTTAGAGTATACAGTCATGCGAAGAAATTATAGTCACTCTAAAGAGTATTTACAATTCTGTAGAATTATTTTTATATATATAAAAAAATTAAGTTTCTGAAACTCATACAACATAATGTAAATCACTCTTTAACTGTATTTCACATTTTGAATGCTAATTACCTGTAAAAAGTACAAAAGATCATATCTACCTACCTACAACCTCAATTGTATAATAACTTTTTATTTTAAAATTTATTGATCATTTTACATAGTTCCACCCTAGTTCTAGAGCTCTGTGCATGTGTGTCGCATGTCCATATTAGATTTATTACCTTTAAATGTATTTCAAGCACACTATATACTCAAAATTTTATGTGTTTTAAATTAACATGTCCTTTAATACACGCACCTTCTTTTGCAATACTATAAGTGATCCAATTTTTCTCCTGTATCTTATAAAAGAAGTCAATGCATCTCAGTACTATAACATTACATTAACTATATTGTTTGTGTAGTAATTAATGTATTTTTTCATATCTGTGTTCGAAAGGAAATTTACTTTATTCAACCATAGTGACATTATGCCAAAACTATACAAATATTTTGAGGTATACAAAAACTCACTGGTAAATCATGATACAAACCAGAAGTAATCAAATGATTTTATAGTTTTACAGTATTAATAAATGAGATGAATGGACAAACAAACAAATTTTGTAGTGCTGGATTGAATATTTTTGAACTTTTTGCTGGGTTTTGTAATAATATTTACTTCTTTTCTGGACGGTATGGTTGTTCCAATGTGGCTGCAGCTGATGCTGTTGCAGATGTAGTTGTTGTGGCTGGCCCTGCATTTGTTGCATGTTACCACTGCCACCTCCCCCGTAGTTTGTATAAGCATGGTGCATCATTAGAGGCGCCATACCCACTACATATATCACAGTTTTTATTTCAGACTGTGGAAAATTGCCTATGCTCTGGATCGTTTTTTTTTAAGTAGCAGAAACAGCCTCTGTCTTCTTTCTCTTACTACAAATTCCTATAATTTTGTCAACATATATCCTTGCAAATAACAAAGACTGTGTCTGCTACTTATTTTCAATAACCTGGCTAGACCTTTGTAATTTATATATCGAATGTTTAAGTAACACAGTTGTTCTTGATTTGACATAGGATTATATAAAATATTATTGAGTTCAGAAACTGTTAAAGTGATAAGATAGCACTTAAAGAATACAAGAATAAAGAGATGGTTAGCGCATCAATCATGCCAGCAATATGTCATTTTAATTGTTATTTAAAATTTCCATGCATCTGCCATGCACTACAAAAGTAAAATAAGAACTAAGTCTAAACACAACTAAAAAAACCTTACAACATACTATTATTTCTTAGCATTAAACTGAAGTAATAGAAAGAACGTGCAACAAGACAGAAATTATAGACTATTTAGATACAAATAATTACTTTTCAACCATGGAATGTTTCTATAACCTCTGAGCAAAATTTATACACTATATGCAAATTGTTTATTGTCCAACATTGAACAATATAAACACATGTATTCCTCTGAAATGACAGATTAAACAAAACTTTGATTTGATACATTTATCACAAAACAATATAAAAATATATGTTGTAATTAACTGTCAAGAATTTTGTGTACTCTCATTGGTAACAATGAGAATATTATGTCATAACATGGTATCAATGATTCTTAATGAAAAATGTATTTCTTTACAACGACATTTCGATGCAGAAGTTTTTTATAGAAACATTGAAATGTATGTCTGAATAATTCCTCACACCGATAAAAATACGACACACAATTCGCAATATAGTGTATTGTCTGCGATGGTATTTCTTGAATAGTTTAGGTTAGTTCACGTATAGTTAACTAACAACCACAAACTATTTCGACCGTAGCAAACATCGATCAAAGCAAAGTAAGCTAACTGTCGATGTTTTCGAAACACGTTGAATACAGGGCCCTGTCAGAATGACACTTGGAACCAGACAATGAAACGATCAGCTAAAACCTACAACCACAACGTTTTCGTAGTAGTTCAAAGAAAACACGAAATAATCGTGAATGCAAGGACATGGTCTCAGTTGTCCTATCTCCAGTACATGGACATAATCACATAGATAGACATAAGATACAAGAGTGCTGTTTTCTAAAAGAAAAACCGAAGCATCGATCATGAGATAATTTTGCTTAAAGGTTGTACCCATCAATGATCCGTCAGTATACCTTCGAGGTAAAATCGCATTGAATTTCTCAGTGTAACGAGAAAAGTGTGTGTAGCACATATCACGTTTTACCAAAGGTACGCTTATGCACTATTTCGTAGCAACTGAGCTATCCCTGAAAGGTTAGTCGAGCGATGCGACTTCGACTCGTTCAGTAGAGTTGTTGGAATGTGAGAGAAAAAAGTAATTAAAATCGAAAACTTACCGGCGGAGTCGGAAGTTCCTTGGAAAGGATCTCCAAGTTTCGGCCGCTTGTTCGGCGGACCGTCCACCAGGTGGTCGGCCATGGTTCCTTTTCAGGGTTAATTATTTCTTATTTCAGGCTGTTTACTGTCGGTAGCAAGTAAGCAGCGGCAGCGGCGTTAGCGAGTCGTCGTCGAGTCGACCGCACGCACGCACGCACGCAGAGGCAGGCAGGCAGGCACGTATACACGGGTAACACACACGAGCGAATGAAACGCTGCACTACGCCACTAGAAGACTGCTGGTGCTGGTTACTGTTGTTGCTGCTTCTTCCTCCTCGTCGTTGAAGCCGCGAATATTCACCAATCTCTTAGCGTATTCGCAGGCATGACAATAACAATGAGAACCGCGGCGCGTAGAGCGTCCCCGAGCACGCTTCGTTACACGATCAACCATTGGGCATCGTCGGGGGGTACGTCGAACCCCGCGCTAAAGCCCACACACGCACACACAGTAAATTTCGTCGGCAGGCGCACGGGCCACTCTCGCGCGAGCCACGGCACAGAGGCAGAGAAGTTACCAGGACTATCTCGGATATTGCTGATCGGCAAGGATCTCACCGCCGTAATATTAAATGCACACACCGCCGAATGCAAGGTCCGTTCGTCGTTTATATTCGTCTTAGGTAGTCAGAGTCGCGCACGACTCGTCAAACACTCGAGTGTGGTGGACTGGCTGCGCGCACGGCGCTATCTCGGAGCAACGATATCGGTCTCGAGGCCCGCTGGCACCATCTTCCTCTCCTCTTCTCTCGCCTTGGCACACTGCGACACACGGGGCGCGCGAACGATCACCGCGGACGCGGCTCGCTTTCCCCGCACATTCGAGGCAATCACGGACGCCAGGAGGCGAGGACAACGATATGAGTCGGCTCCAGGGCGGCCACCGCGCGCCACAGATATTCGCTCGGGAAAAGCGATCGCGAGAGTTCCGCACCGCACGAGTATCGGCTAACGTAAAATGGCGGCTGCTGTTGACGAGAAGTTTTTCTACGCTTGTCAGAAAATGTCCGACTGGCTCCGTATGGTTGCCGTGACTGCAGATCGACCGTCCGATTGGCTCGAACGTTCACGTGACCGAATGTTCGCGTCTGATTGGCTGAAGCACTGCGAGGCCACGAACGCCGCGGTTACGGTCACGCCGCCGGTCCAACAGCAACGAGACTTCGCTTATTCCTCTGCCGCCATTTGATGATGACCGGTCTCGCACGGTGGTTGCATGCCGCTCTTTCGAACAAAGTCGTTATTATTAGTTTCGCGATACTTGTACATTAAAGTTTAGTTGAATTCTATGTTAGAAGATTCTACTTATAATTGCTCGCAATACTGTTTGCCTGCATCAGTGTTTTGTATGAGTTTAGGGATACCGCGAAAATACCGGAGTTTTGTTAGTTTCTTATTGCCGGAAAATATTCAGGCGGTATTCCCGCAATTTACCCCTTTGTATTTTGAAAATAGAACTTTTGAGCATTAAATCATTGTACGTATATGTTATTTCATTTTTATTGAGGTGTAATATAATAAAAATTTGCTGTGTTTCCAGAAAAAATAAACCGTGTGTTAAACGTTAGGTAAATTACAAAATTATTGTAGTAACAATTAAACATACATACACTGGTGTGTATATATATATATCTGTTAAAAATAATCGTTAAAACATGTGTTTGTATGTAATGATTGTGAATGCTTGTTATACTAATAAAAATCATGTAAAATTCGTTTATTCTTATTGACATTGATTACTATATCTACATGATTTTATGTAGAAAGGTACACGTTATAATTTAATGTTTAACTAGGAAAAAAGTTAGAATGTTAGAGCTAGATGGGAACGTAGAAAAAATAATGCTGTTAATTAATGTAAAAAAAATTTTGCTGTTTAATTTCTTAATTTTTTATAAACACTTAGTTCACTAATTTAATGTTATCAAAATGACCTGCAGTTTATACTACTTACGGCGGATTAAAGCCATTTTACACTCCTCATATCCTTTTGCACTTAATCGCTATCTGAAACTTATAAAGCGTGTACTTATATCTGTCCGTTGTTCGTATGAGCATTTACTCTTTGTAATTACAACAAAACAATATATTACCCTATTACATTCATCATTAACTTATTGGCTACGTACACACGTAACATATTTTTTCGAAGAAGATTCGTATTCGCTGTCATTTGCGACAAACGTCATAATGAACTATTCGCCGATATATTTACAGAGTCAAAAACGTCAAAGGGGGATGTTGTTACAAGATGGCCAGGGATTTCTCGATCGACAGGTTAAAAGGAAGAATGCACAAGAGGTGGGGAGAATGCGTTGCGCAGACCGTCCTCTCTTCGAGGCAGAGAATCAGACTCGTGTAGATAGGTGCGAACGGCACGCGACCCATCACACGCATATATTGTGCGTGAACTTGCTTCCATCTCCCTTTTCCTACTCCTTTCTTTCTTTCTCTTTCCTTTTCTTGCTCTTTCCGTCGGTCATACGTTGGTTGCGCGCGCGCGAACCTCGTAGTGTCAGATACAGGGAATTGTGTAAAGAAAGAGGTGAACATGAGTGGAGAGGGAGTATTGGAAATGGGACGGGAACTGGATGACGGCGTGGTAGCAGCCACCTAGCTGAGTCAGTGACAGCGGCTCTTTGTTGAGTGTTAATTGTCACGCGTTGTTTTCTTCTGACGATGTAATCTCGATTTCTAGGAGGAATTATTATTAATTTGTTTACATCTAATGTATGCTTCTTTATAGGAATTCTTTCGCGATGCTCCAGGGTTTTTAATCACAAATCTCTTAACTGAGACTTTCTTCGATGTTACCAGATGTATCTTTAGACTTCTATTTAGTCATTACACTATTTCTTCGAATTATTACAATTTTCGTAGGGTACTGTTTGTGTGCGGAGTGTGTATAGTTGTTAAAGAATTCGTAGCTGTAGTGATGCGAACGGTATGGGATCCAAATTATGATAAAGGAAAACAAATCACAAAAATTTGGCGATTGTCTTTATCCCAGTGTTACGTAACAATCGCTGACCAAAACGTTTTAATGTTTCAACGACGCATTGCCATAGAGTTTTTTTGCTCGTAGATTATATGTATAGCCCGATTTTAGACTAAATAACAGTCAAGTGGTCGTAATATATTTTCGTTATTATTACATATCGCAAGAAAATAGTCGGTAACTACAAGATTACGGTATCTAACAAAACTGCGCACCGATCACGCATACTTCTATGACCGAGTGGAAATAAAAATATCCGTGAAGGGTGCATTGACCGATCTCTAACATAAGCCAATACGTTAATCTCCTTAAAAATCTGTGAAAGAAGGAACTTGACTCGTCGCGTATTTCTTCTGCATTTCGATTATTACAAAACCGAATGAGCTATTTCCACGCAGTCTTTGAGTCACTGATATCACTGTTGTTGTCTGCCATGATAACGAACGTAGTTTTCGTAATCTCATTTTGCCGATGCGATACGGTTCTATCCTATATTATTTGTAATAATTATGAATTCAATTTGAATACTTTTTAATATAAATATAAGTAAGAAATGATAAGTAGCGTCTAGAGAAACAGATTCAGTTAGTTGCTACCAAAATGACAAATATGTTTCGTTTCAGAGAAAATCAACGAAAAAAAGTCTGGTTATTTAATGTGTATTTATCAGTTTTATATTCATGTAACCGAGTATTATAATCGGTTAAAGAGGCAAGGTCATGTCTTGGATTACGATACCTGCTATTATTCGTAACTTATGTTCTCCCTTAAAGAATGAAAAACGCGTTTATTTCGTTCGTAATAATTTTCGAAGTTCACTTTTAAAAAAATTAAACTATGATTACTTGAACGTATTACAACGTAATAAAGTAATATACAAAATTAAAAAAACAGAAATATTTAAATGATAAATTACAATTATATAGTTAGAGTGGCAAGTTTAATTATACTCGATCGTGTTAAGCTTTAATCATACCAAGAAGACATCTATATGGCTAGTGAGATTAATGTTCCATCGACTTTTGATCGTAATTCAAAGACTACCCTCTAGCCTTGTTTGAATACGGGCCTCGAGAATGCATCCAGACTATGTTTGCATCGTCGCGGTATAATCAAACAACAATTAGAAATGAAAACATTAAATTTAATGCAATCATTTTCTTTGATCTAAGACCTAAAGAGAGTTTTTGTTTAATGCATGAAAAGGGTTCGTGTCCTACTGATAAGTCTTGTTAAATCAATCCAACATAAACTGATACAACAATGCATAAGTTTGATACGAGAATAAAATGAAAGGGATTGCATATTTGCATTATATTTTAGTTTACAAATTTGTCAAAATAAATAAACATGAAACTAGCATCGCTTATGTTATTTATATATACATGATTTTTTAAAAAGATACTTCATTTTCCAGCAATAGAATAACAAAATTAAAACGTTATTTAAATCAAAATTTAAATTCTATTATAAAATAGTTCAAAGCATAAATGACTATTGTGCATATTCATATATCTTTTTATTTACGTACAATAACGTTATATATAAAATAAAATTTAACAATGTTTCGCAAAACATTTATTGTACAAAAATGGTCGTTGATTTAATCAATTTCAACTGTTATATCTGAACTTATAGTTGTTACAAATTGTTATCTGTACTTAAATCAGTTTGAACAATATCATTTATAACGCATGAACGAATATAACTAAATTTTTATTATGATAAAAAACGATTTTTAAAACAGTACCTAAAATTAAAACTGTTACCCATTAATAACTAAATATTGCATAGATCACTAAGAATATTTTGTGCATATATCAAATTTATGAAAATCACTTTCTCGTTTTCAATGTTTCAGAGACGGGGTGATTACAACGCGCAAAAAGAATAGGACAAATTAAGTGCAAACGAATGAAAGGATTATTTGCAAGGAACAATATTTTATAAAAAAAAATTATTATCTTTTGATATTATGAGATGTGATAATAGAATATTAGAACCTGTAGCTTACGAACTGTCCACTCGCTCTTCTGTAATAATAGAAAGCTTGGATAAAAATACACAACAATTTTCATAATTCATCTTACGAAAGATTCTTGTTGACAGATATCTTCATTAATTAATACACGATTATATAAATTATTTACTATGTCATTCAAGAAAAGAAGTATAACAATTCATCTTAATATAAAGAAGTATATTTTATATAACATAGATGTTCAATGTTTTGTAAAGTAAAATTTTTCAGTTTCAATCAAATCTTTAATCTTACTGTAATGCGAGCAAAATTCTGTAATATGATTTAGTGCAATAAATATATAAAATATATGTACTGCGACTATTATTCAGAGAATAAAAAATTGATAAAATTAACAACATGAATGTTCGCAAAGAACTTAATCCATTATTGTATACTCGTTACTTTAATAAAAAAAATTGGGTTACTATGATTCTTATAAAAAAGGGAAAATGCAATTCTTATCTCAATAACTTCGTCTGTTCAAATTGAAATTTCAATAAAATATTGTTACATACAAAAAATAAAATACTAATAATTTGAAATAATCATAAAGTAACTCATGAATGCTACTGTTTAATGGGAATGATGTAAAATCAATTAGACTTATTTAAATTGTAAATATTTTCGTGTAATTAAAATCATTCAAATGTTTAGCTGTACCTGATTATACACAATATTTATATAAATTACAGTAAATTGGTTTTCACCTTCCACATTAATTAAAAAATCAATGAAAACGGTAATATAATTTTATTTCTCATAATTAAAACAGTCTATTTTCATTAAATTATGTTTACGTTTTTGCATTAACAACGGTTTTATTATACAATAAATATTAATTTCTCTAACAACAAAGTTTAAAAAGACGCATTTGAAAAAAGATCGAACTGATAATTCGGTCCGAACCGACACAAATTACATATTAGTTTATTACAAAAATTATATCTAATTAAATTTTTGTTAAAATATGATTATTTGCACAAAGTAATTAAGACACTTGAAGAATGTATGCATTTCAAAGTTGTATAACATATGTTTACACGCATTCAAATAAATGCGAATTTGTTACTTTTTAGAAATTTAAAATGATTTTCATAAATAACTGCACGATAAATGATTTGTTGTATTAGAAACAATACTACAAACGTTAGTAATTTTTAAGAAGTCCCCACTTTTAAACAACAATTTATATGAGCGTATTAAAATGTACAGTTAGACTTACAAAACGTACCACCGCTTCTACTCATGTAAAAAAGACTAGTAAACATCTATCACTCTTTATAAATTGTTCAATCGAATTTTAATGTGACTTTGTATAAAAAATCTTTTGCATAACTGGGACTTTCAAGCTTGATTTATATTTGTATGTAATGTTTTTAATAAGTAGGGTTGTGTATGTAATGTATTTCCATTAAAAATAAAACCTGCACAAAGATGGATTGAAGTTCGTATTTACTTAATAGATTGTATTATTGTGTCTTCTATAAGCTTAATGTCTTTATATAAAGAAATAGTGTATGCTGTTGTTATACGAATATACAGACTGCTGCATTAACTTAACATTAAACTTCAAATGCATGTCAAACATAACACCGTTCTATTAAACTTTATAGATACAGATACATATATTATATGTACCCAACATTATGTGATAAAACGTGAATGATAGTATAAACAAAGATCTTGAATAATGGAATATAGTTCAAAGGTTATCTGTCTTAAGCCTAGACCCAATTTTAAGGGTCTGTAAGAAATCTTTTGTACATATATAAAAACATTATACCATACAAGTATCCATATTGTTTGGAAAATTGGATATTTAAAAAAAGTCGTCTCATATAACACCAGTTTTGAACATGTACATACTTCCAAATTGATTGAAAGATACCACTTCACCGTTTATTTTAATATTATTACGATGTAATAAAATATCCAGTTGAATATCCAGAAATATATTCATGATCCACAATTTTAAGAATTCCTTCAGTAATGGTGTGTGCGCAATATTCATTTGAAATTGTTTAGTATTTGTTGCACCATCAAGTGGTCAATCATTCTTAGATTTTGCTTTGCTTCCCTCACAGTCGGACTTTGTTTCACTCTCCTGTTGTTCCAATTTTGATTCAGTCTCTTGTTGACTACCTTCATCTTCTTCGTCTGAATAATTAGTAGGTGCTTCACCAGGCTTCAACAGTTTCCCCACATAATCATATTTTTCTAAAATAATTAAGAATGTGTTTAAAAAAATTAAAAATAGCATGGAACCTTTAAATTTGAATTTTAAGTTGAGACAATCTTATTACATATGCAATGTATGAAAGTAAGGAAATGATGTTTCAACATTTATTCTACTACTATTTATTAAAAAATTTGTTTTACGTGGTTAGAGCTCAATATGTTACCTTTAAACTGCTCCTCCCATTCTCTGACAGAGTTCATTTCAGTGGTATTTAAATCACTGAGATCATCATATTCGTCTCTTATTGATTCCACTGAAAATGTTGCTAAGCCTCTACTGGCATCTCGTCCACCAAATGCTTCGTATGGTCCACCTATTGGAAAAGTAAGCAACATAAAATTTAAAAGTATCAATTCATAAGAAAGACCTTTAGAATCAGGCAACTACACATATCATATGAAGTTCAGCAATCATCATTACATATATATAATTTTCATTGAATAAGTTTCCTTGGAAAATGTTTTTCAATTTGAAATAATTTTATCGTGTTCGTATCAAACACGCAATAAATTCATTGCAAAATTTATCGTTTAAAATTGAACAGTCAATCGTGGCACAAAAGATCGATATAAATATCGTAACAAATCGTTAACAAATACGATAATAGTTCTGCTGTTATAACTTTCCAAACTGATTATCAAGATCCCGTAATGCTTGAAAATTTATTTTTGCATAGATGTTGACTCAGCGATAAACGGCATTCGACGACAATGCTTCGCAATCTAATTAAAAACGATTCGAGGACTTCGAAACGTAGCAAAAAAGGGTCGTAATTACAAGGCAGATGTACGTGTGAACGTTGAAAAAAGCGTTGGACGATCGTACGATTTAAAGGTCGATGGTGCGTGTGAAAAAGTCTTACCTGGACCATAGAATTTGGCACCGCGAGTGCAGTCGTAAATGCTACCGTTGACAGCGACCAATATTCGTTCGTCTGGTCCCCTACCATTGTACTCTTTCAATTCTTGTAACGTAAAATCACGTCTCAATTTGGGCAATACCTTCACCTCTTGCATCGGAATTTCTGTCTTCGTCTTGCTTTTAACGATTTTGTAAACTAGCAAGGCAATCACGCCTACTAGAATGAGATTTATTGGACTTTTCACGATTTCACCGATAAACGTTAAAATCAGTTGTTGACTTTCTTGCCCGGAAGTCGAGGTGGAACCCGGCGAGTCATTCTTTTCGGCCATTTTGACCACCAGTTATGAGCCTGTCGAAAAATACAATGTTTTTTCCTACTCGCTGCTGGTTAACTTTATATTACGCACGTGATTAAACGTATGGGAAGAATCTTGATGTAATTCTTTGTAAAGACGAAGCAACACTAGAGGTCTACACTCAACGCGACTTGCATGCAACCTCAACCATGTACCATCATGTACTACTGACGTACCGGTCGGCACTGCCCGCGCCGCTACCTACACACTGATGAGATTATATAGGGTGTTTAAAAATTCGTGATATAATAAAAAAAATACGATAACGCGAAAAAACGGAAACATCTCGAAAACATCGAACATGGTTTTGTGAGCAACGTTGGTTGTGAGGGTGTGAGTTTACTTTCACACAAATAGAGAGCATCTAATTAGTACTGAACTCATTTGAACGTGCTTGTTCTAATAACATTTCGTGTATAATTTATACAGATAGTAATCATTTAATTAAATAGACAATTTTTTCAGAAAAACTGCAATAGATGAAGCATATTTCATCACTGAACACTTTAAAAAAAAATTAATTTTTCTGTGACTCCCTGTATATTTTGTACACATATAAACATATTGCCCTATTACAGATTACAGTGGTATTCATACAAGAGCAATTCATTCTTTTACTGCCTCGGCGTTCACTTTACGAGTAAAAAGTTTTGTAACTTCCAAACATTTTTATCATTTATATTCTTCGTTTATGTATTACGCAAATAATCATGTTTGAAAATTTGTAGTCGAAAATATCACTTTATTGAATCTGATTGTTATCGCGTCGTCATTGAAGTAAAAGGCATATTCAGGTCACAAACACTTCAATTTCGATACTGATAATGCATTTTATCGATATTCATGCAAAATTCGTGATACAGTACACGAAAGTCTGATATCTTAAGTCTTAAGCACAACGCACGTATGCGAACAATTTTTATTAAGAATGTGGTCAATTAAAAAATATGAATTTGAATTTCGGCGAACGAAATGAGTATATACATATGTATGTATATGTACATTAGAGATTCTACTTTACATTCGCAAGAAATCGGTCTGTTTTAACTAAATCAAAGTAATTAAATTAGAGATTTACACGTATACATGGAAATTGCATTACAAATTGGATTTCAAGAGGAAGCTGGCGATGCGCTTGGTTCCTAAGTGTTCCTAAGTCAAAATTGAATGTGTCATTGCTTGGTTCCAATTTTACAAAGTCATGCCATGCTGTCATTCCTTACGCATGTACATGTAAGTTTCTGTGATGGAATCTTGATCTGTTTCAGCGTTCGACTAAAGCTTATCATGTTAGATGTCGCTTTTATTGTACATAACGGTTTTATGTAGGTTTATGATTTAATAAATTATTGTTCATGAAGTTGTAGATTTATAAAAGTTTATACATTATTTCTAGCTCATACAAAACAATTATTGCGAAGTATAAATTAATTATAAAATATGCAAATTCCATACCAGTTATGAAACCAGTTTATGCGTAGTACGTTATACCAATAACGTGTTCGATGATAACAATGAATTGATTACTAGAGCTGCGATAGCGGCGGGAGAATTGAGTAAATGAATAATACTTCGAGACTAGTTTATTGATGATAATATCTACATATTTTACTTCTATATGTGAGCATTAGTTGACTTGTGCATGATTTTCACAGATAAATCTATGCAATTATGTAATAAGTTACTTGTACTTAATTGCCAAAACTGAGTTATTTAAATAACCGAAGTAATGGCGTGAAAAGTTGCATTGAATTGATTACATATACCATATACAAATAAAATTACATTTTTGCTGAAGCTTTTTCATCTTGGAAATCCAGATAGGGATGAATGTTAAAAGTGGATGAAACCATGTTAATGTCTACCTTTTCGGAACACATTGGACACATTCCTTCAGATTCAATGATCCTAATGTAAAATAACATGGATTTAACTGTTTTATAATAATTACACATCTAGAATAAGATATATATACCTTAAAAATTCAGACTTTATGGCAGGGAAATCGCATTGGGGACATGCTGTAAAGTCATGTTCAACAATATGTCGTCCCTAAAAAGAATACTTCAATTAAGTAGGAATCTATTAAATGATTGTAAGAGGAGAATTAGTAATGAACTAACTGTAGCTATACAAAATGGTATCGTATTTTTGCATTTATCACAAGTAATCTCTGTTTCAGGAAGTTTACTCTTGCAGTAAGGACATGGAGTTAAAGGTTCATCTTCAATTTCATTATCTTTTGACCTTGGTGGTTTTCTTACGATTGCTTCAATTTTTTTACTATACTTAGCATCAATTTGATTTCTATATTCAGGACGCATTAACATAGCAGCGAAACTAAATGCAGCATTCTTCAGTCCTGCTCTTTGACATTCTATTACAGTAGATGTCAAGATTGGAACAATATCTAAAGTAATATTATTATTGGAATCACTCTATAGTTGTTTTCTAACCATAAAATATTTAATTGCTTTTTACTAACGTGACGGAAACTTTGAAATGTTATTGGCTACTCTTATTAACATACGAGCACCCCGCAAGTGATCGCTTCTCTTCACGTGAAGCCTAACCAGTATGTACGAATGTAAAAGTCTCAAGTTATTTTGCATCTCTAACGGTATAGTAATTTTATTCCTCTTCAATTCTTGGTACATACCGAATAGTACATCATGCGCATTTCTGTAATTTCCTGTTAAAATAGATTGTAACATAACACATGCAATTATAGAAAACGATATGTTAAATGAATATAGTATGAAAACAAACCATTAATTTGTTCTTCGTTTGCTATTATAATCGCTGTCTTTGCAGCCTCTCTGTATTGTTTTCTAGCCATGTACAATCGAAACAGATACTTTGGATCCTGTGAAATTATAAGTTGTAGTTACAGAATATTTTATATTTCTGTTCTTGGAAGTTATGAAACTACCTTTGGCAATCCGTCTCCACCCAATAAGAAATCTATTAGTTGATTCGCTAGTTTATCATCTTTTGAAGAAGCGACTGTATCGATAGCTAGTGTCAGGACCTCATTCTCATCTGTTGACAACTTAGCAGCTTTCAACAAATGCTGCAATGCCTTCTGATATTCTTTTGCGTAAAAATAATATTTTCCTGCTAAAAGATTATTTTTTTCGGATTCAAAATGCATAGCGAAAACCTTAAAATCCTCCTTCCGTGCATTATCATCATCGACTGTATTTATTAAGATCTCCCCATACAACTCCATTTTTCCATGCTGATTGGCTAACTGAAAAGCTTCGTCGTGACAATTTGATAATACCAAAAACTTAATGGCTGAATTATAGTCATTCATTTTTTGGAAATATTTTGCCACCATTTTAGCGCCTTCTACACTTTTTGTTTGTTGTACTACCTCAACGCTTCGTGCTGCAAATATAAAATTACAATATATGCGTATGCTTTAAATATAATTTCCTGTAATGGATGAAATTATTAAAAATTAAATTACCGGGATTGTTTAAACGTTCCAAGTTAATTCTAATTATGTTTTCATAATCTTTTGCAGTCTCGTACGCTTTAGCGGCCTCTTCGTATTTGCCTTCAGCCTCCTTGGCTTTAGCATACTGTACATTAATTTTAGCAGATGATATCTGAGGCAGAAGCTGTCCCACTTTTTGCCAATTTTTCAATTTTATGTATGCGGATGCAGCTTTATCAAAATACTCAGCTTTTTCATATAATAGTGCAGCTTCATTAAAGTGCTGTAAAAGTAGTCATTGATAAAAAGTGTAAGAGTCATATGTACAGTTACACATACCTTCATTGATTCTAGTATTTCTGCACATTCCTTTCGTAACTGTCTTGAGCTTTCATTGTCAATAGCTATGCTTACACCCTTTCTACTATCACCACACCTGATAGACATTCTTGCAATTCCAGCTAAACACAAGTTGCGATGATGTGGATTGTGCACAGACATGTATGAGGAATGATTAGAATCTACTAATCCACGTTCATAATTTGACAATGCTTTTGGATAATTCCCCCTAAAGGATCCGTTTTTGATAAGAGAATCGTACTGTACACATACATTAGTATAAAACTCTTACGTGAACTCCAATTGTTGAGCATATTCCCTGGCAATGTAAGGAATTTCGTCAGCTTTTAATTTCTGTGCCAAGTTCAATGCTTGTTCCCATTGCATTAAATCTCGTCTTAAATACAGTGCTTGTACTGGTTCTGACGATTGTAAAAAAAATTTTTCTGCCTGATTATAATCAGCAAGTAAGATACATGCATGACCAGATAGTAATGGCAATTCATCTATGCTTTCCATGTTTTGTAATGCCCATACCATTGCGGCGTCTTCCATGTGTCGATAAACTCGTATTGCTATGGTTGAGAATACCTATTTAGTAACAAAGTATTTATACAATTTATGCACATTATAAGAAAATTTACCAATATCAATATTTAAGTTAGCAATTGAGCTCTCTCCTAATTTTAGCCATGATTCTTTTTCGTTAATTTTCTCACAAGTGATCCATGCTTGTTGAAATCTGAAATACAATGAATATTTATATTCTATTTTTACAGAATTAATTGGACGAGTGAAATTTGTACCGTCTACACAAAATTTGATTCTCTAAAACTTCTTTCAGTTTTGGTGATTCCACGATATTTCCTGCATCTTCGTGAGACGATAATGTAATGTGAATCAACTTATTACTTATCGAACTTAACGTCAATTCTCCAGAATACATTAACAATGGTAATGTTTCAGATGGTAGCTTTGTGGTATTTATTTTTATAATTTGTGTACCTGTTTACCAATCATTCTTCAAACATACATTTTAAGTTTAATAATTAATTTCATTAAATTTGTGTTATTGGCTCACCTTCGATAAAATATTTTACAAATATATATGTAATTATAATATTCTTATTATATACAGCAAATATATTACGCTCCAAAATATTCTGATCCCAAATTATACCCTGTACATAATCCGGACAGTCGGGAATTTGTAAAACTGTCTCTTGCATAGGATTGTACATATAAGTGTCAGATTTGTTATCTATAAAACACAATTGTGTTCCATTTGTATCTAAATAGATTTCCTTTATGCCATTGTTATGTACATACTCTGTACTCTGATTAAAAATTTCTAAGCAAAAGTAGATTACATGACCCATCTATACACACACAAATGCAAATTAGTCTTTCTATTGTACATTTAAATCCATTTATATTTTGAGTAACTCACATCATTAGCATAAACCAAGAAGTCTGTACTAAGGGCATGGCACGTTATTCTAATGTCTGAGGCACTTAAATCTGGAAACATTTTTGTATCCTTCCCCTCTTTGGTTAGCAATTGATCCATTTTAATCTACAATAGTAATACGTTAACATGTACTCAGTTTCCTAATACACTTTAAAAATAAATTTGTATTTATTTTAGTATACTTGTTACCGAGTGTAATTGTAATTTTCCATCATACAAAACTGAGACATAGGATTCATTCAATTGTATACTATCTATTGTTGCAAGATAATCTCTTTCAAAGTGCACTGTAGTGTTATAAGGAGTTTCAGATATATCCCAGAACAGTGCTCTATTATTCAAACCAACCGCTACATGCATTGGGCCCACTGCTAATACTGATGGCTCGATTATAGTATTAATTATTATTGGTTCTGGCTTTTCCTGCAGTACAATTTCGAATATATTTATGTATTTCTATTAACCTGCATAATCTAATGTATATGTCATGCATCTACCTCATCTAATGTATACAGATGCACTGCTACTTCGGTTAAACTTGTAAGTAATGCTATTTTATTTCCACAAACACTAGACAGTTTTGGAATCTGTATTAAATAGACTAAGACATTGCCAGTGTAAGTCACAGCTGCTATCATGGATCCATCCATAGACCATTCTACTTTGCTAATTCCAGTGTCGTTGCCTATTGTAATTAATTGTTCAGTTTCTTCCAAGTTCTGTAGACTATGTATTTTTATAGTATTATCACCGCATGTAGCAATTTTTCCTATCACTTGACTTATTGCTAGGTCAGTTAATGAGTCTTTATAATTTTTAACTTGGAACAGTTCTTGACCCACTTCTTTAATATGTGTGGAAATTGCTGTAAAATACCCAGTCTCAAAACCAACTAAGATATAACCATCTCCATACCTAAAAAAGACTTTATTGTAAAGAAAGGTAGTTGTATTTATATCAGCCCCTCATGTCTGACCTTACCATTTGTACGTAACAATGGGACCATAGCGTTTTTGAAAAGCTAATTCAATAGGATTTTCTGGATCCAAAATGTTGTACAAGAATAAAGTAGTCTTACTAATAACGAGGGATACCTAATGAATGGTAAGAAATTGATAATATCCTGACTAAGTATAACTGTATTCTGCATACTTGTTTGAAAAAAAATCATACTGTATTTTCACCCCCCATTCTGTGATCCATCTTCATTTCGTTAAACTGAATGTCTGATGGATCACCTTGAAGTGGGATTTCACGACGTGTGTCTCCATCACTTGTACTAATTGTTAAAACCTTGTCTTCACTGGCTAGAGCTAAAAGCCCTTCATAAGACCAGGCACCACACATTATACGTTTTTTATGTTTTCCCAAAATTGGTACTCGTCTGTTTGATAATGAATAAGTTATAAAGTCATTGCTCAAATAATAAACAAAAAGTATTTTCTACTAAATATAAAAAAAGCATGTCATACTTGGCATTTACGTGATCATAAAGCACTAAATTTCCTTTTTGTGTTCCTACAGCTAACAAGCAGGTTCTCTTTGCCCACATTATACATGTTAAGTTGTCTCTTACACCAGCATCTATTTGTGATTTCTTTCCAGTTGTTGCATCCCATAATGTAATAATAGAGGAATTTTGTGAAATAATAGCTAACAGATCTCCATCAGAGTCCCAACCAAATCCAGTACACAAACCAGAAATTTGTATACGTTCTTGCATGTCACCTTGTCTGTCATAAATAGCAACCGAGGAATCGTAACCGGTAGTGGCTAAATGAGTACTATTTCCAGGACGCCAAGTAATAAAAACAGAACCAGAACCATGAGGCTGGTATAAATGATACAGAATCTGGATTAAAAAATTTTACAAATTAGTATTCCTGAATATACATGTCGTTTCTTTATATTGCAACTTGTTAAAATGAAAATAATGGGAATACTTTCACAATAACAGTTTTACATGTCCTTCGTGACAATTGACTAAATACATAGATGAAAACTATTTCTTCATTACAATTTTAGTAATTCGTAACCTACCTTCTCAGTCGACATTTTTCAACAGATAAAATATTTTAACCACAGACGAGGTATACCTCGTCTGTGTTTTAACCGTTTTAACGATATTTTAGCAAACTTTAAGTTGTTTGACGCTTCGTTGCGATAGGTCAGTGTAGTCAGTGACAGATTACGCTATTTGTTGATACTATTTACATGATCAATGTTGTTGTACACCTAGCACCACTTTGCAATGACCATCTGAGAACTGAGCAATTCTCAGAAAGAGAATCTAGAATTCTTTCTAAGAAAAAAAAATCCGTAAATTATCATTATATATTTTTTCCAATGTTGTTAGATTATTTGTTGAATTTCCCTAAGTGGGGAATTCCCATTTGAGACGTTCTTAATTATCATTTAATTTTTATGTGAATATACGATGCATATACAATATACATGTGTATATGATGATAGGTACGTACATCATACATGCTGTATATGTACACATAGTGTCCTTATCTACCGAAAAACGTCAAAGCTATTACACAATTAGTATTATACTATTCCTACAAGATGGCACCACCTATTATTTTGGTGTGGTGACCTACTTCTATTCAGCGTCTCATCGAAAAAATCACTTCCGCTAGTTAATTTGTAGCTTGATCATTTTGCTATAGATGACACTACTGGTTCGTTTGACCTGTTTGACTATACTACCACCGACTAGGTATAGAATAGACCTATCATCCAATGCTTATTTCTGTCCCACGTTCATAGGGCTACGTAGCCCTGTTACCATTTTAGTGTCAATACCCGACGTTACCGATAAAGCATGAATTCTGAGTATTATTAGCACAAATGAAGTGTCATATATTCCATTCATATTACGTGTATCTATATGATTTCATGAGAATAAAAATACCCGATGCTTCAGTTTAAGGTTAAGGGATAAATATAACAGTCATGAAACATGAAACGGAAAAGTACATATTTTATCACTTAACTACAAGACAATTTATTCTAAATGCA